TCATTTAACAATAATGGAAGATGCGATGAATATATATATAAGAAACATCGAATTCTCCTTATTCCCCTCTGTTTGTTTGAAATCACGTTTATGGAAATAAATATTGTTTGATTTGGAAAACCAAGTCTTAATAAATAATGTCCACATTTTTATGGGAAAGTGGGAAGAATAGGTGGAAATTAGATATAGAAGTAAATGAGAGGATAAAACATATATTGAGTTAATTAAGGTGATAAGTTGGGTTGTTATAGAAAGTGAGAGACATGAGTTTGGGGGCAAAGAGGGAACCCAATGGGAATGGAGATGAATGAAGAGAGAGGGTGTTGAGATGGAAATTTGGGAGTGGTGAAAGGGGGGGGGGAGGAGAGAGAGTCAAGGAGAATGCAAGGCTAGGGTAATGGAGCAAGGAAAAGCAATGTGGCATGGAGAGATGGATTTTATACGTTTATTATAATTTATACAATTTTTTTAATGGATCATTTGATAACAGCTGGTGTGATACTTAAAAGCTTATTTTTTTGCCTTTTAACCGGTCTTTGTTTTTTTTTTCATTTTATATGTTTATATTAATACTATAATATGACACTTATGAAGCATATTATATGAATACCTTATATAATGTTATAAAATAAAATGCATGTGCATATTACATGATATATTATTATATATGTATAACACATTTTCCCCCATTAAAATTTTGTAGACAGAAATGACCAAGGTAGGGTGTGGCAAATTTGGAGATATTTGTTCCTTGTAAGGATGTGATATGGGGCTAGGAATTCTTGCCCAATTAGGGTACATGGTAGGGACAATGTGTAGTACATGTATTTGAGTCCTTGATGACTGGAAATTCTTGCCCCGTCTCTAAGGCTATGTTTGGCTTGATGGAAAAGGCAGGGAAAGCAAGGGAAAGATAAGAAAACCAATACAAGGTTTGTAAGGCTCTGTTTGGTTTGTGGGATGGGGATGAGAAAAATGGAATATTCAAAAAATATTAATTTTTTTCTCATTTGTTTCGAGGGGAATGGAGGGATGGGATGAGAAAAAGGTGGTATTCGGGATCCCAAAATCGTGGAATCGGGATTGCACCAAAATAGTGCAACCCTGATGGAAAACCTCGAGAAAACTCAAGAACGGCAACGAATCAACAGTGACAGCGGCAACGAACCAACAACAACAGCGACAATGAACTAGCGATGGCCCCTTCCCATTGTCTCTCCACTCTTCCTCTCTTTCTCTCTTTTCTTCCTTCGTTCTCGTTTGTGGGCTCCCCTATTACCACCGAACCAAACACTGATCATTGCCTTCCTCATTCGTACAAAGGAGGCGGCGGTGACAGGAGAACTAGTGCGAGTGGCAGAGGAACAACCAAAATCTGTAAAACAATTCTACCTCTCTTCGAACAAGGGTAGTAGAGGAACGGTGATCTCCTCTCCCGATATATTCATCATCTCTCTCTCTCTCTCTCCCTCCTTCCTCTTCTCTCTTATCCCTCACCTTCTTCTTCTTCCTATTCTTCCTGTCTTCCTCCCCGTTTCATTTCTTTATTTCTCTAATCGCTGTTGCAACTCTTGGTAGTGACGATCTACTTTCTCAACACTCCTATCCTACTCTGCTCTCCTGATCTGGTTTCTCCTCTCCCGATCTCCTCGCTTGATATGCTTTCTCACCAGCGGCGATCCGATGAAGAACCAAGTCGTGGCGATAGTTTTCCTACTATTTTTCCATATGTAAAACCAAACAATGTAAAGTTAAATTTTACACCTTCCCATCCCATCAAAATCTTCCCACAAACCAAACGGAGCCTAAGGGGGCATTCTTTTTTGGGAATTTGAGAGGGGGGAAAGTTGGTCAATTGGATTTTGATTCCCATTGACCAAGAACCCCATGTTATTTTTTAGATTTATGTGGGGACCAGGGAAAGTTTATTTTACTAGGTATCATTTACCTAGGTAAGTGATACCCATCTCCTATGTGGGTAAATGACTTTCCCACTATGGGAGGAAAGTTGGCAACACTTTAATACAAAAATGCCCCGTTTAATAATGGATTTTTATGGCTACAATGGCCATTGCCTTATTTACATGAAAAATAAAAAAACGTGGGTAAATGCACTTACCCCTGTAAGTCTTTATTGGGAAACACATACCCGGGTATGTGCATTTACTTGGGTAAATAACTTACCGAAAAGCAAATAGGGCCTAAATGTTTTCCTACCTTTCCCGTCCTTTCCCTACATTTTTCCTTCAAACCAAACATAGACTAAGGTTATTGGCTCCTTAATAGATGAAGCTAAAGTTTGGTAGACCACTACCCTTCAAAAATGTTGATTGTGCTATCAACTAACAAAGCAAGACATCATTTTGTTCGGCAACTTCAGCCACCATCAAACGGTTGTTGAGACTTTAAGGCTATATTTGGTTTGAAGGAAAAGGGTAGGGAAACCTATACAAGGTTTGTAAAGGTTTCCCTACTTTTTCCTTCAAACCAAATACAACCTAAATGAAAAAACCACTGCCACCACGAGGCTGGGGGAGACCAAATATCCTAAAAGCAAAAAACTCATCGGTTATGACATCTAGCTACACATTAGGAGTATTACACTATTACCCATGCATAGATGATAAATTAATGGGGAGATGTTCCCAATGCGTGGTTGGATGCTTTTGCTTTGAGAGCTTGTGCATAATTGTTGCACTCAAGAGATCCCATCATGAGTTTGTATGGGAGTTATGGGTATAGGGATCGACTACCATATAGGGATGCGACATGGGCAAGCTCGGGTTGTGTTTTTTGCCAAAATTTGAATGGGCCTAACCTAAAGACATAAACCCAAAGTACTATAAGATGCCAACTCGGGGCCAACTTGAATTGCAACGTTAACCACCCCCCATTGTGTAGCCCTGTGACCCACAAAAAACATAAGAAGAAGAAGAAGAAAAAAAAACTCTAAGGGCCCATTTGGTTCACGGGACCAAGGGTTTGGAATTGGAATGTCCCATTTTGATTCCAATTGTTTTGTCGGACGGACTTAGAATACCATTCATAGTGGAATGGCATTTCCCTATTGGAAGGAATGGTCATTCCCTCCTCATCACTGGGAATGAAATCCCATTACAACTCCAATTCCTATTCCCATTGTTATTTAAATCAAATAGACTATGGGAATAAATCATTATGGTTTTGATTACGATGGGCCCCAATGCTCTTTTAAGGATGATGAGGATGGCTATGTAGTTGTTTGAGATTGATGCCATTTTTCTCAAAAAAATGGTGCCACATTAGCATGGTATTTGTTAAGATGCCTTCCCCCGCCCCCCCGGTAAAAAAAAAAACAAAACAAAATTTTATTAGACCATGCATTGGAAATCAGAAAAAAAAAGGTGTAGTATGAGAAAACACCAAATTTTCTTTTTCTACATTATTAGCAATAGTATGCTGATATGGCATCGAAAAATGCTTATATGGCAACAACAACAATGATACCAAATAAAAAATCAGAGAAAACGTTTTATAAAAAAACAACATGTTTGCATAAACACCGTTTTATGAGAAAATGTTTATCAGGAAACAACATCTATCCCAAACACCACCAATATCAAGTTGAATTGAAATGGATTTATCTTTGCTTGAAAAATTAGATAATTTGAGGAGCCTGAATCTGGTGGTCACATGGCAATAATTAATACAAAAAAAAATCTGGTGGCCATATTTGGTGTGTGATGAAATCTCTTGAAGGTAAAAACTTTGCACATATTGTGAAAATATAGACATTCAGCCGCACACTATAAATATCTTTCTATACATAAAATGGCATATTTATCAAAAAAGGGGGGGTTTAGTGTTCAGTCCACCTAACAAATCTTACATCGTCTGTATAATTGGGTAGGTGTCAGATCGAAATTGATGCCAATACATGAGGGGTAATGGAAAAAAAAAATTGAGATACATGTACGGAGTTAGATGCCGTATGAAATTTCAGGAGCACGGGCAGGTATCGTATCTCCATTGTGTTCGTGTGCTTGGTGCTTACTCAACATTTTCACCGAGTATGCTGTATGCCTATGCCCAACTAGATGCGTACCACAAATGGAAATGTGCTATCTTTTACTGCACGTGACGACCGACCACGCAAAAGAGTGGCATCATCGTTAACCAATCAACTCACTCCACTGTCCCCCACATGCCACGTGTTCTCCGATAGCACCAAAGGTCATAATCAGTTCACTCGTTCTTAACAAGTCTGGATATCGTTGTCCAAATTACTGGAATAACCCTTTCACCATAAGCACCGTTACTTTCAATTCTATTTCAAATTCGTCAACTATATACATTTTTTTCTTCTAAATGTATTCTTCTTCAATTATTTGTCCAATAACGGCTTGGAGACACGTTTGATGAATAAAGGTGTCCAGCCAAATCTCATCCATTCATCTCCTCGTAATACAGGGCCAATAGGTGTGCACCAGCTCAGCCCCGCAGCGTGGGGTATATATGAGGTCGATGCAGCTGACCATGGTTAGTCCGATATCCACCGGTTTCCTTCCGTAGGCCGTAGGATTCGAAGAGCTATTATGAACGTTATTGAGCTAAAAAACGATTAACTCGTGACTGGTGTGAGTGGTGACTGGTGACTGGTGAGTAAGACCGTGCTGAGGTTTCGCAGCATGAACAAAATTCCATGCTTGGTCTTTGCTTCCATCTTGCGTTGATAGGAGATTGGAATCCACATAAAGCGGCCCCACCGTGGATCAACGGCAAAAGGCTGGTTAAGGTGCTCACGTGGGGAGTGGGCTGTGTGGTGTGGGGAACCCCAATGTAAATGACTCCTTTGGCCAGCTATTATTTGGACTTTGACAGAATGACAGCCCGCCTGCACTGAGCAACTGGGCAGTCAGGGGATGTTCTTGGTATTTTATACAAAGGAAGAGGATTTTTTGGGGATTCGGGATTCTTGTATGTTTCTCAATTCTCATTACTTCCGTCGAAGGGCGGGGAAAGTGAACAGAAAATAAAAGCGAACGGAGAGAGAGAGAGAGAGAGAGAAAGAGAGAGAGACAAAGAGAGAGCGGAGAAATCCGAGGGTTCTCTTCGACGTTAATGGCGGTTAGGGTTTTCTGTTGATCTCTAAAACTCAAATCTCCCGCCACTTCCACCTTTCGTTCTTCTAAAGTTCCATTCAATTTCCTCTCTGTTATTTCCGATTTTCCCAAAGAATTTCCCGTAAATTTTTATTCAGGGAGGAGAAACATAATTGATGGGCGGGCAAGGAAAGACCCCAGCCATTGCCAATTCGATGCAGGTAAGTGTTTTTCGATTACTATTGAAGCTTTAAGTTACTCATTCCGTGGATTTTGATGTTGCCCTAGAATCATAGTTGATGGTTCATCTGTTGTTATTCCTGGATTAAAAGCTTGAGCTCGATTTTAGTAAGATAAATACATTTTCTTTGAATTCCAGTTCTTCCAATCCTCTCTTGAAAAGTTCTGTTCGTTTTTTTGTCTTTGATTCAAGTAGAATTTCTAAATATTACAATTTTGCTTGTTTATTCATCTCGATATTTTCAAGATCCCCCCCTTTTGTTGAAGTCAATTCGCGGCTTGTTCGTGAATTCTTATTTTGCTCTGAGTTCTCTGATGTAGTCGTATTGCAGTAGAGGGTCTACATGTTTTCTGCTAGACTGGCTGCTTGAATTCATTAATCAATTGAGTCACCATTTCAATTCTTCTGGCGCATATCGTAGACATCTTATCCATCAGTTACCAGTTTTGCTGAATAATCATATTGTTGACCATATTAAAGTTACTCTACTCTTCACTCTTTACATTGAACGTATGAGCCCATAGGACCCCCAAACCGTCTTTTTCTGAGCTAGAAAACTGATTATCTTGTACTCTTGAAGCAACATCAGATATTAGACGCTTGTCTTTCTATTCTAAGTTACTACTATAAATGCTGAATGGGTGACTTGGGATCTTGGATGTCTGAAAAATGACGTGATAATGCAATTTTTTGCCCTCACACTAGTAGAGTTGCACAGGGAGAAACCACAATCTTGCAGTGCCTGGGAAAAAATTGAAGTATCATTTCTGATATGCAATTGCTATTCAGGATTGTGGTTTATATCTTACTGCCTGAGCTTCTTATTTGTTTCTCATCTAGTTATTAGTATGAATTTGTTCCACAATATTGAAGCGTTCTATTGTTACATTCTATTGGTGTCTACTCATCCAATTTTTGCAGGTGAAAGTGTTTTGCTATTTTTCCAGATAAGCAACAGAAACTTTATTGATTATAGGAAAGAATAAGGAACAGCTTCATTACAAAGATAGTTAGCAGCCCCAAAGACAATTGGCCCTTAAAGTCCCATTTCCTCGGTCCCTCCCCTTGTTCTGTTTGGTCCCAAACTATCCCCAATAATTTCTATCTATTAACCCCTTGTAACGTTGTTTGGCTAGACATATGCCAAAGAATTTGCAATCTTGTTAGCCAACTATAAAATCTTTTTCTTTGCCTAACTCTTTTTTTAGAGTTCCAATTTGCAATAAATTACTTATCCATTAATAAAACATGGATTAGTATTATCCAACAGTTTTTTTCCGGTCATTGGCAACAATTAGGAATATTTTATTCATGAAATTTAAATGAGAGAAATAACCTATATTGCTCCATATGGATTAATAGGGGGAAAACTATAACTGTCCAAAGCTGAAAAAGCTCATAATCTCATGCAAAAGGCAAATTTAGAGCACTCAAGGGTCCAGAGTCCCCTACTAGGACTTGTGCAACCACTCCTGCCCTTGGTCATATTCAAATAATCTTGTAGATGCTCTCTCTTGAATGATAACTTTCATTTTCCTTTCATTACTTGAGTCTCATTATTTTTATTTATTTTTTGATAAATGATTAAGTGTTGTATTATAATATAAAAATGAAAAGAGAGGGCAAGATACCCTCCGTAACACAAGAATGAGGGGTTTGGAAAGAGTAATATGCCCACCATTACAGAAGAATGATGGAAATGTTGCTTTGATCTTTTATGAGGCACCCGATGAGATACCCTACTTCATAACACATGCTTACATATATGAATTAATTGACGTTTATAAATAATAAATATAACATATGGTATTTGAAGTTAGAATGATAGAGGGTACAAATATCCATAAAATATAAGGTTTAGCATTCAACAAAATAATAACTGACCGACTAATGATCATATACGTTTTACATTTAAAGTTTCAATGTCCAAAGTTCTCAAATTATTCGAATGAACCATACTGCTTTAGATCATAAAATTCTTCCATCATCATTTTTTTTTCACTGATGGGATCATATGATGAATCATCCATATAATTAATATTAGATTTCTGGTCATATAACAATTTAGAATAAAGGAGACAATTTAGTTGTTTTGATTTATGTAAAAAAATCAATAAAAAGAAATAAATCCATTAGGAAGGGAAATGAGAAAATTAACAAACTTGGGCTGTTAGATTTCCATCACCCAAAATGTAGAATAATGAGGAAAAAAATTCCCACTTGATTTAACTAAGAAAAGAGACTTGTGAAGCTTCTTCTTGACCCTTGTTGCGTTGAACTTTCCTGAAAACAATAAGAAAAATTAAGAACTTGATTTTCCTAGTTGGATTTTCATTTTACTTTATTTTTGTTATTGTCTTTCTTAATTACCAAACTTCTCCTCATATATTTTGAACTATAAAAAATACATGTATTAAATCAGTCAGTTGTTATTGGTTCTTGAGGCTTATGCCTTTCCATGCCTCAAGCTATGCCTCATGAAGCATGCCTTGAGGCATGAGGCATATGCCTCTTCCTGACAAGGGCTTAAGCCTCACATCAAAGATATGAGGCTTAAGCCTTGAGGCAAAATCTCTGCACCTCGCCACAAGGCGTACACCTCACTTTCCTCTTTAATACCCAACTACCTTGCCTTTGTGTAGCCTGTAAAACCTTGGGTTATAATAAAAAGGAAATATACAAATTGTTTATAAAAGAAATAAATTGTACTCTTAGCATGCATAAAATTGTAATAAATATATATCTGTACATATATCTGTTGCATATTATTTATATTTATATATACATGCCAATTAAAAAATTATATGCATATACTTGTATATAATATGATACATACTTTGAGTCTGATGCCTTGCCTCTCTGATACCCAATTGCTTTGTCTTTGCATTTAGCCTTTAAAGCCTTGAGTTATATTACTTCCTGTTTTCTTGTAGATTGCCCAACACACACACACACACACTCTCTCTCTCTCTCTCTCTCTCTCTCTCTTCTAAGTTTTTGTTTTGTAAATCTTATCCGTAATTTATGTACTCACTCTTAACTATCAGAAAAGTTATGAAAATTTCGTCTCGCTTGTTTATTAGCCTTATGTATCCATTCTTGCCTTATGGTGTACCCGAGAACTGCACTTTGCAATTACATGCAGGAATTTGCAATGTTGCTACCTGTTCATCATTTATTAATCTTGTGCCCCTCCACTCTGCTGCTACCTGTGTTTCTATACTCCAGACACAGTTGAAGTACTTCATTCTTTTCAATCAATATGGATTTTCATGCGTTTTTCCTGTGTGCTTGTTGTTTTGGATTGAATTCTTATTGCTTGCATATTTGCTAATATTATGATGGACTTGGTGGGTGTTCAAAATTTTCAGCGTGTTAAGGTATACCGTTTGAATGATGATGGTAAATGGGATGACCGGGGAACTGGGCATGTCACTGTTGAGTACTTGGAGGTTTGTCCATATACTTGTTATTCTTTTCTATTTTTTTTGTTTGACCAGTCATTCGATGAACTGTGTCTTAAGTCCTGGAACTTATTACAAAGATTGACAGTCCTAAGTCAAGTGTTATAAATGTTGATCAGCAATGCTTTTGAATGCAGAGATCGGAAGAACTCGGTTTGTTTGTGATTGATGAAGAAGATAATGAGACATTGCTTGTGCATCGTATCAGGCCAGAAGATATCTATCGAAGGCAAGAAGGTATTTCATATTTGTGTGAAATGCAATATATCACTAACCACTCTTCTTATGTAATGTAACAATGTAAGATGATGGTTGACATGGCATGATTTCATTCTTTCCCTCAGATACAATCATCTCATGGCGAGATCCCGATTATTCTACAGAATTAGCTCTTAGCTTTCAAGAGGCTACAGGATGCTCTTATATATGGTAATATATCCTTTTCTTTCCAACTTTTAGTTGTGATAAGAGTTCACTTGAACTATTATTTCATCATGTAATTTTTGGTTTTATATAGGGACCAAATCTGCAATGTGCAGAGGAATATGCACTTCAATAATCTTAGCAGTAAGTATTCCTTATCTGATGGATTTTAAGTACATACTTCTCTATAGTTTGTCTGCTAAGTCTATAATCTCTCGACATTCTGTAGGTATGGAGATTGGTCAACGTCCACCGACAGATGCCTTGGAGACATCTGGAACTTCCCATGCCAATGGTAACTTTCTTATGTGTTCTGAATAAGAATTTCCATGCTGCAATCTGTCTTTTGGGATGAGTAGCAGTTTAGGGCTATCTCCCATTTGTATCTTTGGGGATCATGCACTAGCGTGCTGCCATTATGCTAAAAGTTGAGCCTTTTCTTTTCTTTCTTTTATCTATTTGTTTTTCTGGGCCTGAAAAGTTTTTGATCAGTTAGCAATAAAAAGTCTTATCATATGTTATGAGGATGGGTTGGATAACTTTTTTAACAGGTCATTGGTTGTTTCCTCTTGCACATTTCCAGCTTTTACACATTAACCTTATTACTTTAAGATATGCCTAAGCTTAATGTATGTATTGATCGATCAAGATTTTGCACCAAAATTTGGGCTTATCTTCACGCCTTTTGAAATTATTTTTTCCAACACCTAGTTTTTCCCCTTCTTTTGCTTTTTATTGGTTAAACTGTCGAAGCATTTATTCGCAGTGGATGACAGCCCACCCTCATAGGATGAGATTTTTTGTTCCTTTTTCTTTGGTTGTGGTCAGGGTTGAGGGAACAACCAAGGCAGATACACCTACCACGAGTGGAGAAAACAATATGACTGTTAACCCATTAATGTAGACTCCAAATATAAGGAGCTAATCCCCTCCATCTCTGGCCAGGCTGTCTTTGTTGATCTTGGGACCCACTGGAGCAAGCTGTTCATATTTGAAGCCAAAGACCTCGTCTTCCTTATGTGCCGTAAGTTTTGTGGATCATCAATGAATGAACACATCTATCCTACCACTATACAGTTTCCCTCAACCTCCGGTCCTAATGTTTAGTTTACTGAGTGTTCCTGAAAAAAAAGCTTTGCTCTAATGAAGTCCTCCACTCCAATGCATGGTTCCAAGTTTTGGTGAAATTTTGCTGATAGAGAAAAAAGGATAAATTTTGCGAATTTTCAGTTTTGGCCATTTGACAAAATATGAAAAATTTTGGGTGCAATTAGCTGAAATATTGCAATATGTTCTAAAATTTCGGGTGTCCATCACTTGTTATTTGTAAAAGATCATGTTGTGATATCAAAATTAGTAAAGATAGATAATATGCATATATTAACAAAATATTTTTTTTTTCCGAAAAGAATTGTTCTGGATTAGGGTCCAAAATGAAAGAGATACCCAATTTCTAAAACCATGGTCCATGGGATTAGAAGATTTCACTATTGCCTCCTTCCTGTGAGAACACCTTGCCCCTCAAACTTAAACCTAACTTGTTTCTGCTAATATTGCTGTCTTTGAGTGGAGAAACTGGCACCTGTCTGCCATCCTTTAAGGATTCATCCCTAGACATGATCCAATTAGCCACACTTGTTGTCACAGAATCTTGGATGGCTTTTCTATCTAATCTTTTCTCTCTTCCTAAAGGCTCTACAAAAGTGCTGCTCTACTGCACCTTCACAAGATCTTCACTCTTCAGATATGAGGGGATTGGAATTCTGTCTTAAATAGTTTTTTTTATTAGTGGTATTTGTATATGCTTTTTTTTTCCCTTTTGGGGAAGATGTTAGTATAAATGATTTTTTTAATCAATATTGCACATAAGCTATTAGCCTATTACTTGTGATTTTATTTACCTTCTGTTTCCACAAGTGTCAATTATAGTTGCATGATCCAGTTAAATATTGTATGGTGGATATAAAATTGCATTGTGGTTGGGATGGCAAGATTACCAATTCATACCTGTTACATCTGCAGATGATACATTTCATGGTGTCAACAGCGAGTTGAGGGAGCTGCCAGCAGTTGAACTGTCTACGCTTCCCTTGATATTAAAGGTGCTAATGGACACTCAACCTCCTTTCGTGATACAACTATGCTTCTGATCTCCAATGCAAGGCCATTAAGTCAATGCTGTTACTCTTGCTTCTACTTTACTCATTTAATGCCTGCTAATTATGTATTTAATTTGAATATAGTGGCTTATTGTTTTTGAATCTAGTTCTTTGTGGTTGTTCTCTGCCTCCATTCCTCTGTTTTAGTCTACTATTCATGAATGTGTGATGTTTATAATCCAAGGCATTATAGTTTACTTGTGTAAGGAATTTATTGTGCTGGTTATTTGCTGAATTGTTTTGCTTGATGAAAGCTAAATTTGCATTGAACTTTCTATATGCAGTTTCTATTTTTTAAGTTTTTAATTTTTTGTACTTCAGTGTTTGCTTCGTTTAGATGTTACATACAAGCTTGGGCTAAAGGTAGTAGACATAGTGGAAGTAAAGTCATCATATTAGGTTTTGCAAGATGCAAGGTAAAAGTATAGAACATGCAAATGTTAGCATACTCAATTGATCAAGTTCATCCACTTATCAAAAAGAAAGTGTAATACAACAGCATGTCCAAAGGCTTCTGGTTTGAAAATAAGATAATTGAGTTTTCTGTTGTCATGTATATTAAATTGATTAATTGGGAGTACTTTCGTATTCCTTATTGCCTTTGGATATTCTGTGGCATGTAGGAGGGGCAGGATTTTGGGGAGATGTACTATAGTAGTGGTGCTTTGGACAGTTTTGGAGGAAAGGAACTCAAGAATTTTTGAAGATAAAGAACGGAGTAAGGAAGCTTTGGTAGAAGTGATAACTCTAAGAGTGGCACAGTGGGCTAAAAGTCTGAAACTTTTCTCAGATTTTAAGGTTGAGGATTTTTTCAGGTCTTGGTAGAAGTAAGGAAGCTCTGGTGGAAGTGATAACCAAGGATCGAAATATCGCAACGTATTGGGGTGTATTGGCCGATACGAATCGTATCGGGGCCCCTCCTATACACCCCTATACTTAGTGTTTTGGGGTCTTACCTATTTCACGGGGTAGATGGGCCTTAAACTGATACCCTCCACCCTGAACCAGTTTCAAAGAAAAAGACTAAAAAAAAGCTAAGTTTGATACAGGACGATACACTGGTGTATCGATATTTTTGAATCTTGGTGATAACTATAAGAGGATTTTAAGGTTGAGGAGTGGTCACCCCCAAACTGTGGTAGGGAGAAATTGAATTTTGATGGGAGTTGTGTTGGCAATCTGGGTCCCTCAGGCATTGGAGGGGTCATTTTTTTTTTTGATAGATGGCATAGGAGGGGTCATTAGGACAGAAAAGGAAACATCACAGCCTTATACTAGGGAGCAGCTGAACAAGAAGGTGATGTGGTTAGATCAGAGCTACTGGCTGCAGTATATGGGGTTGAGAACGCCAATGATTTGGGTATTGATTGGTCATTGAGGGTGATTCGAGAACTGTTGTGAACTGGCTGAAGAAGGGGGATGGGATGACATGGCATTTAAGAAATGAATTCAGGAAATTTAAATGGTTATCAAAAGACATGACAATCCGAGTTAAATGGGTTAGGAGAACTGCCAACAGTCTGGCAGATGGTTTAGCTAAGCAAGGGGTACAAAGAATATCCTTGTATTGGGCTCAATTATAGTTCTTGGGTTGGCTCAGCTTTTTTGAAGCTGTGTTTTTTCTTTTTCCACAACCTCTTGTTGTTATTATTTTTTCTATTATTGAAGTCATTTCTGTGTTGCTGATAAAAAGAGGAATGAGGTTAGCACCACAGCTTGGTCTCAATGATTTGGAAGTTGAAGGAGATTCACAACTAGTCATTAATTGGGCAAAGCAAGCCAAATCAGAACCTTGAAAATATAGACATGCTTTTAGGGAAATTAATGCCATTGCAAAGCAATTAATTTCTAGTTTCAGCTGGGTGAGAAGAGTTGCAAATGGGGAGGCAGATGTTCTTGCTTAACAGGGAGTTGACAGACCTAACTTATTCTGGGAAAATTTGTAAACTCATGTGACCAGGGTCTGTTGGAAACCTCCAACAGTTGTATTAAGTTTTAATTTATTAATGAAATCCTTTTGCTGATAAAAAAACTCAGGTCTGGGGCAGGTCATGGTCCACTTGATCCCTTGCACCCATATAGCCCGACTTAAATGGATTGCCTCATCTTAATTGGTTTGCCAACAGCGATAGTCCAGTTGAGTCAAGACCCAATTCACTTGAATATTTGATAGCCACAGTAAGAATATTTTACTTGGTTAAAATTTTGGACCTTCTGATGATGCGATCCGATTTATCACTACATGACAGTACCTTCAATTGTAGTTCTGCTCAGCTATTTATGAGAGATTTTAGTCCTTGTATGAGGGCTGATAGCTCTGCTTTTAGAGAATTTCTATTGTCATCAGGCCTTGATTAGCTAAATAAGATATTTCCTTTATCATCTCTAACTACACTACCAAAACCTGAAGTTCCTGGGTTCCTAAGCTGTCTGTTATCCGTCAAAATTTTGTTTCCTTCCCTCTTGCTCTAGGGAACTCTTTTCCACTATTTACTTTCTACCAAGCAAAGAACAACACATGCTTATGGTGAATTTTCTATGCTCTATGTAAAAACCTACATGCTTAGAGTTAACATCTGTTTTCCTGATCACTTTCTCCTCTTTAATCATCTTTCATGTACTTCTGTTCCTTAAGCTAGAAAAGGAGTAATGTTCAGCTATTTAATGACTATGAATTCCCCAAAAATGACACATCAACTCAATCCATCTAACTTATCTCAGCTACTTTTGATTTGGCATAGAGATCCTTTACCACCACTCCATTCTATTTGGTATATAATCATTTTTAGATTGTTAATGCTCAAGTTGTTTCTTTGTACCTTAACAAATGGATTTTTTGGTCGTTCCCTTGCCCTTTAGAGGTTTCAGCTTGCACCCAATCATAAACCCCAAAATAACAATAGCTAGAAAAATGAAACTTTCAGTACAGAGAATATACAAAAATTTTTAGGTATGGTTCTTGGTTTTGAATTCCAATGCTACCACAATGTTCAGTATGGTTTTTGCTGTAATAATTGCTGGTTGCGATGGTGGATAATGCAATATTTTTCTTGTTGCTTTCTCAGTTGAGTGTCATTCCTTGTAGAGATTCTATTCTTCCATTTACTATAATTGTCTTAGTTCTCTTGACTAACTGCAATTATCTCACTTTTTTTTTGAATATCTTTTTTTTTCACATGTTTATTTGCTAATGAAGATATGACTTTATTGCAGACTGTAACAGAGAGTGGCATTGCTGATCAGATGCATGTGACAGACCTCATGTTACATGACGTGAGCTTCCTCTAAGTTTTGTGGGTTTCAGAAAATTCTGATAGTTTTTCTTCTAAGGGTCAACACCCTTATCTTGGGTGGAGACAGTGTATTACATTAAATATTCTCTATTGAAAGTTGCTGTTTCTGATTAAAAAAATTCTGATAGTTTTGTGAGAATGACTTGGGTAATCTTATATTGTGTAGCTTCTGGTTCATGGGATAGATTTTTTATACTTTATGAGCGTAAAACCTAAATTTTTTTTGTTTTCATAAACCATATAGAGATAATCGCTTCATCATAGCCAGATTGAGAAAACAGGAACTGATTGAGAAAGTTCCTCAGCTTTGTAAGCTTCTTTTTTGATTGAACTGTCAAATTTATGATGAATATGTGGAAATTATAAATTGTATAGAATGTTATGGAGGATATAAATTGTCCTTTATCATTTTTAAGATTCCCATATCCCCTTCTTTCTTCTTTTGTTTTCCTTTTTTGGGTACATATATGTTTCCTACACTTTCAAATGTCTTGTGGCATTTAAAAAAATACTTAGAGATGAAATGCCACAACATAGAGGAAAATGTTGGGGAGTGGTAGGTGGAGCTGAAGAATGTGTTTAACTAAATAAGAGTTCAGAGAGGGTGTTGGAATTGGGAGAGTTTATTTCTGCAATAACAGACAAATATAGGGTTCATGGTTGATTTATGTAAATTAAGTTCTAGTTTACAGGTAGGGGGATGTTTTGGTAATTGAGTTTTGAGATTTATTAGTAAACGTAGTGTTCTCAGTGATTCCAATCCATTTAGAATTTCATATTGTTCAGTAACAAGTGAGTTTAAGACAATTTTTATTTGAGAACATCATGCACCTTGACCATTGTGGTGATCTCAACTCAGAAGGTACAAAGCATAAGCAGTTTTTACCCCATTTTTGCCAATACAATTGTTCATGGGAAGTTATTTATTGTCCTCCTATGATTCAAGGGGCACTTCATGGCCAAGCCCATCATGTGAGCATGTCTTCAAGTTTTTACGAAAGGGGATCTTTTAAGTGACAGCTTCTTCAGTTACTTCTGAATGTAGAATATTTGAGGTAATGGTGTCTTCAAGGTTTATTTGGTGAAGGATGATGACATCCGTGTTATACTTTTTTTTTGATCAGTAACAGTAAAAAAATTTATTAATAAATACACAGAAAATACAGATTTACAAAACAAGGGTTGTAGGCCACCACTTGTATGCACTTGTATGATTCTTTGAATCTCTCTCCACAATGATCCATAGTTGTCAAGGCGTCACCTAGGCGACTAGGCACCCTTGGCTGGGCGCCTTGCCCAAATGCCTTGACTTTTAGCAACTAGGCGCCCTTCTAGGTGACTAAGCACCTGCCTAGGCGACAAAAATGATAAGGTGGACACCTTTTATAATATCATTTATATTGCTGTATCATATTAATGTATGTGTTCATACATTTTATTATATGCTATATATACAATTGTACTTTGCTTTAATGTTTTACTATTGAAATTTAAATGATCAAAGGGTTTTGAGGAGAGAAAAAAAAGAAAGAAGGAAAAAAAGAAAGAGGAAAGAAAGAATAGAATTATAAAATTTTTATCGCCTAGGTGACACCTAGGCGACTATGCGATGATCCTTCTATAATTTAGATCTTTCCTTAACTTTAGGCAATGTAACACTGCTAGTAGTTCTTCCGCCGTTGAGTCTCCATACTCTATGGGAAGAGGCATGATAGATTCATCTGCACATCTGAATGCCCTGTATTCCTGAGGGTCATGGGTTCCCTATGCTGCATCCATCAAAGCTCATCTTGAGGCTAGGTAAAGTAGCCAACATCCATGAAACTCTTAATCTTGTTCTTGCAGAATCCAAATTGGCTACAGCTTGTTAATTCCTAAGAATGTTTTCACAGGAAATAGAGAGCATCTTTAGGTATTTCACCCAATGCATCTCTTACCATAACTATTTCTATCACCGCTTTTTCTGAGTGGGTCTTGTCTAGGAAGATCTTGTTATCTCTATCATGTCTCTTAACTAGGAAGATACTAGTTGGCAATTTTACTGATGCGTGATGTGGCCTTTAATTTTCTTCCTGATCCCTATCATCTCTTAATTTTTTTTTCTCACTACCTCATTCCTCTGCAAAATTTTCTCATTCATTTCTGCAAATCATAGAACTTGTGTAGGTATGGGGCCATTTCTCTGGGAAAAGTCTGAAAGGATTGTTTTCTCTATCCTTTCTTCTTCTTTCTCTTCATACTAAAGGACCTAAACTCTTACATCAATCTCATCTTTCCACTTATCTAAGACATAAAGAAAGTTTGTTAATTATCAAGTCTGGGGGCCTGTGGCTGGTAATTCTTTTTTCTCTGCGATTGTATCTCTATTCCATTTACACAGCTAGTTAAGGCAGCTAGTGTATTTCCTACCAAGTCCTAGGTGACAATGAGGGGGCACCAAGGTGATAAAGATGAATACATAAATATGCACATATTTTCTAATGTACATAGCTGACCCATATAATTGGGATAAGCCTTGGGTGATGATGATGTGTGCTATATATAAGTATGTTTAATTACGTGTTAATTATGAACTATTATACCAGATATTAAGTTATCAAATGACAACTTACACCTGATTTCCAGAAAAAAATGACAAGATTTTTGAATATCCTCCTTGGTTCAAAGGAAAATGCAAATATTCATATAGGGATCAAGAGCCCTAATTTGTAGCTTTGCTTGCACTCCTCTTGACCTAAAATTAAATATTCTCACTAATATGGTCATATCTCATATAGGAAGGTGTTGTGAATCTGATTTATTGGTTCTGTGTTAGTATGCTGTTAGTATGTTGTCAGCCTAGTTTTCTTCCCTTGTTAGTTGTTTGTTATTAGGAACTGCCAGGGGCATTCTTGTAACTTCAGTTCTTATTACATTAAGTGAATATAAATAAGAAGCTGGGAACGACCAGCCCAGAGTTTTTGAGTCTCAATCGGCTCTCTCTTCTCTTCTCCTCTATGTTCTTTTCTCTTCTTTCTTCTCTTCTCTCTCTCTCTCTCTCTCTCGTCTCTCTCAGGAAGGAACACATGATATAAGAGCAATAATTCTGGGCTCGAAAATTGTTTTTTTTTCATCTGAATCTCAGTCTTTTTTTTTTCGTTCTCTTGATCTCTTGGACGTGGAAGACCAAGAATTCTATCGGACTGTTCAGAGTTCCTGTGGTTGTTGTTTTTTGGGTTCCTCCTTGGTCGTAACACCAAGGAAACCCTAACAGAAGGAGGGCAATGCTGGAATGACTCTCCTCTCTTAGTTCGGTGCAGTGAAAAATATTTTTCTGGGTTTGCACCTTCTTACAGGTGCTGGACAGGGGTATGTGTCCCCTTTTTTCTCTGTGGTCTATGCTGTGAAGGGCTGAGAAGGCCTTGGTTTTGAGGTTTACACCTTCGTACAGGTGCTGGACAGGGGTATGTTTTTTTTTTTTTTCTCATGTTCTGTGGTCGAACTGTTAGTAGCTTTTTTTAATGACTGCTTGTGGCCGAACTCTTGCTGTTAGTAGACTGTCTTCAATAGCCTGTTAGTAGACTAGTTGCTGGACTAATTTCTGGGCTATTCTAAGGGCCGAACTATTGCTGAACTGATTTCAGCAGTATCTTTCTCCTTCCGGAAGTGAAAATTCTTGGGAGTTTAGCATTCTGTTTGTGTGGAATCTGCTCTGGTATATTTGTGACCACTTTTTTTCTCAATGGCAAACTATGATTCAGCATCATCTGGAGTTGCACCAACTCGTAGTACAACTGGTATGGGGGGTGAAAACATGATATTTTCCATGCGAATTACCCCTTTAAATGGCCTGAACTACCTGGAGTGGGCTAAAAGTGTGAAACTTTATGTAACGACAAGGGGAAAAGCTGGTTACATAAATGGCAGAGTGAAAGAACCCAAATGTGAGACGGCTGAACTTGATAGGTGGGACCAAGAAAACAGTATGGTGATGTCTTGGCTCCTTGCAGCCATGGAACCCGATGCGAAGAAGAACTTTATGTGGGCAGACACCGCGAATGAGATTTGGGAATTGGCCAAAACCACCTATTCTGAGCAAAGGCATTATGGAAAGATTTACTAATTGCAAGCTGAATCCTCAACTTGTAAACAGGGAAATCATAGTTTGTCCGCCTTTTATTCAGCCCTTACTTCCGTATGGAAAGAATTGGATCATTATCAGGCTATAGAGTGGAAACATGATGATGATGCTAAGGCCTACAGTAAGCTGGTTTCTCAATAACGTGTATTTGCCTTTTTGTTGGGACTGAACCCTGCCTATGAACCCTTAAGAGTTTAGATCTTAGGAAGCAAAGAGTTGCCGTCGGTTCAAGAGGTATATGCCCTTGTTCAATATGAAGAAAGTAGGTGGAGTGTGATGGTTACAACTGATGGGGAGCAACAGGTAGCATTGGCTGCAATGAGTACTAACAATATGGGGAAAAGTGACTCCAAGAAGGCTGATGATAAAGACAAGTTGTTTTGTACCCACTGTCGGCGCTCGCGACATACACGTGACACATGTTGGGAAATTCACGGGAAGCCCAAGTGGGCAGTGAAGAATCAAGAACAGGGTAGAGTGTAAGGTTAGAAGAAGACGAATAAAACACATAATGCAACACATGTGGCAACCCAAGATACTTCGGATGTTGGTACTACCCGGGACCACTTTACTAATTCTGACTCAGGGGCCTCTAACCACATGACCGATAAGCCAAATTTGTTTCCGACTTGTAGCCTTTTGTCAGGAAGGGATAAAGTGAGGCTTGCAGATTGATCATTCTCCTTCTTTGCAGGCCAAGGATCAATATCCCTTCCCCATGGCCTTAACMTAAATAGTGTGTTGCATGTTCCCCAACTTCCTATAAATTTGCTTTCAATCAGTAGCATCACAAACTCTTTAAACTGTAGTGTAACCTTTTTTCTTTGTTTATGTGTTTTTCAGGATCTAACTTCTGGGAG